AGGCGGAGGAGGAGGAGGAGGAGAGTGAGGAGGAGGAGGAGGAGGAGGAGGAGGAGGAGAGGAGGAGGAGGAGGAGGAGGAGGAGGAGGAGGAGGAGGAGGAGGAGGAGGAGGAGGAGGAAGGAGGAGGAGGAGGGGAGGAGGAGGAGGAGGAGGTGGAGGAGGAGGAGGAGGAGGAGGAGGAGGAGGAGGAGGAGGAGGAGGAGGAGGAGGAGGAGGAGGAGGAGGAGGAGGAGGGGAGGAGGAGGAGGAGGAGGAGGAGGGGAGGAGGAGGAGGAGGAGGAGGAGGAGGAGGAGGAGGAGGAGGAGGAGGAGAGAGGAGGAGGAGGAGGAGGAGGGAGGAGGAGGAGGAGGAGGAGGAGGAGGAGGAGGAGGAGGTAGGAGGAGGAGAGGAGGAGGAGGAGGAGGAGGAGGAGGAGGAGGAGGAGGAGGAGGAGGAGGAGGAGGAGGAGGAGGAGGAGGAGGGAGGAGGAGGAGGAGGAGGAGGAGGAGGAGGAGGAGAGGAGGAGGAGGAGGAGGAGGAGGAGGAGGAGGAGGAGGAGGGGAGGAGGAGGAGGAGGAGGAGGAGGAGGAGGGGGGAGGAGGAGGAGGAGGAGGAGGAGGAGGAGGAGGAGGAGGAGGAGGAGGAGGAGGAGGAGGAGGAGGAGGATAAGTAAGGGGTCGACGAATTTGGCCGCCATCTTGGGGTCTTCTGGAGGCCCTCCTGTGGTCCTCTTTGGGTCTCTCTAGCGGGCCTCTTGGGACCATATTCGGGATATTTGGGTCTCGGGGTCCTCTTGGGGCTTTTTGGGGGGATGTCTTGGGGTTCTCTTGGGGCTTCCTTGGGGGCCTTTGGGAGCCTTGGAGGGCCTCCGGGGCCATCTTGGGTGGCGTCGATCAAGAGAGGGAGGGTCTTCGATCTGCCTCGTGAGACTCGCTTCTTGGGCCGCTCTTCGGCCGGTTTTGGGTGCTCAGTGGCGATAGTGTTGACGTCTTATGGGCTTCTTGGACCCCTTTGGGGGCTCTCATGGGCCATTTCGGGGCCGCCCTGAGGCCCCCAAACCGAAACAGAAACGAAAAGGCGATGAGGCAACGTTGACTGGAGTTCCTGAGGTGTTTGAAGAATTATGTCCTCTTGTTGAAGTCGTGGGGGGCTTTGGGAGCACTGGAAGCGATCGTATGGTCCTCGTGGGGCCTCTTCGAGGCATGTCGGAAACCATCTGGAACCATCTCTCCCCAGGTATCTTGAGCCACTTGGGGGCCATCTTGAAGCATCGGGGGCCCTTTTGGGAGCCATCTATGGCCAAGCAGGACAATCTCAAGCTTCGCGGGGGGGGCCAGCGAATCTGAGGAAGAGTGAGGCATGTTACCAGCGTCGGCCCCAAACAGTTCGTTATTGTACGGTGGATGTGTGGGCTATGTGGTGCAAGTTGTGTGGTATAAGCGATGTGGTACAATGGGTTTTAACAATCGGGTTGACAGATCCCATGCTCTTGCAAACATCCCACCCACCCACCTGCAATTTGGTTGGCGAAACCCATGCGGTGGTGATGTGCGGCCGCGCCAACCCCAGCACGCGCGCGCAGCGGCCAGCTGTTTTGGCGCCACCGACGCGGCCGCGGTGGCGCTGACCGCTGGGCGCATCCCAGCGGGCACTTCACTGCGAGTCGGCGACTTGAGCGGGCGCGGTATCATGGCAACGCCGACCACGGTAGTCACGATGGTGAGTGATAGTGGCGATGCTGGTGACGATGTTCGCACCGACGAAAACACGGCCGGTGCGGGCGGCGATGCTGGTCACGACGACGACGATGACGTCGCCCTCGCGTCGGTGATGATGGTTTTGGAAAGAGTTCGACATGCGCGTGCGGCCGACGCGCGAGTATGGCCCGCATGGTTTTATTCGACACGGATCGTGCCCCCCCAGCACGCGCGCAAGGGCGTGCGAATGATGTCTGCATGCGGCGCCAAGGACCCGTTTGGCAGAATTCCATGAAACTGTTGAGGAGCTCTTCGTTTCCTTGAGAATTCGCAAGGGCGCGCGCAAGTTCTCTTGCAAACGTGATGTTGCGAAACCATGTGTTTTTGAATATGTTTCGGACATTCAGTTTTGCAATTGCTACGGAACCGAACGTTTTTGAAGGATTTCGGCATGCGCGTGCGACGACGCGCGAGTGGGCACTTCGTGCCGTTTTTTTGGCGCCAAATTTTCGCGACGGCGCGCGCGCAATAGCGTTCGAAATATTTCGACATGCGCGCGCGAAATCCGTTTGGTAGCCTTTTTGCAAAAGTTGAGCAACCTATTGTTTTTTTTTTCGAAGAATTTGCAAACGCGCGCACGTTTTTTTTTTTTGGGTTAAAAAAAAAGGTTATGTCTATATACATACATATATATATATATAATATATATATATATATATATATATACTATATATATTATATATCTATATAATTATGAAAGAGCGTGTTTACCCGCTGCTGGCGGAAAAACCGGGGGGGGTCACTACCGGTTCGAACCCCCTCCCCCCCCCCCCCCCCCCCTCCGGGAAAACCGGGGGGGTCACTACGGTTCGAACCCCTCCCCCCCCCCCCCCCCCGCTCATCATGAAAAGGGGGGGGGGGGTCACTACCGGTTCGAACCCCTCCCCCCCCCTCCCCTCCGGATCGGAAAACCGGGGGGCGGTCACTACCGGTTCGAACCCCCCCCCCCCTCGAAAACCGAGAAAAAACCGAGTGGGGGTGCGGACAGTGGTGGGGACGGTGTTGGTGGGGACAGTGGTGAGGGGATAGCGGGACAGTGGTGGGGACAGTGGGACAGTGGGACAGTGGTGGGGACGGTAGTGGTGGGGACAGTGGTGGGGACAATGGTGGAACAGGGGGGGACAGTGGACAGTGGTGGTGACGGTGGTGGTGGGGACAGTGGTGTGGGGACAATGGGAATGAGGTGGAACAGTGGGACAGTGGAGGGTACAATGGTGGTGGGGACAGTGGTGAAGGCGGTGGCGAGGACGGCGGTGGGACAATGGGACAGAGGTACAGTGGGGACAGTGGTGGGGACAGTGGGGACAGTGGTGGGAACAGTGGGACAGCTCAGTGGGACAGCGGAGGAGTCAGTGGGACAGTGGGGACAGTGGGGATAGTCGGGCAGTGGTTGGGGCCGTGGAGACAGTGGGGAGAGTGGAACCGTGGTGGGAACAGTTCTGGGGACAGCGGGGACAGTGCGACAGTGGTGGGGCCACTGGTGGGGACAGTAGGGGCGGTGGTGGAACCAGTGGGGACAGCGGTGGTGAGGACAGTGGTGCTGGGAACACCAGTGGGGGATGTGATGCGGACGGTGGTGGGGACCGGGAGTCGTTTGCTGGCGGTGAGTAGGGGGGGGGGGGAAAGGGGAAGGGGGGGTGCGAACCGGTAGTGGCCCCCTCCAGTTTTCCGGATCCGGAGGGTAGGGGGGGGGGGGGGAGGGGTTCGACCGGTGTGAACCCCCCGGTATTCGAGCTGGGAGGGGGGGGGGGGGTTGGGGGGGGGTTAGGGGAGGGGGGGGGTTTTGCCGGGGGAAGGGGTGGGGGGGGGGGAGGGGTTCCAGCAGGGGGGGGGGATTTTCGGAGGGGGGGGGGGGCGACCCCCGGGTTCCGGAGGAAAAGGTTGGCAATTTTCCACAGTAAAGCGGCGGTGGATCACGCTCTCTCTAATATATATATTAACACTATAGTTATATTACACTAATATATAACACATTAATATATAATACATAATTCATATGTTATATATATATGTACATGCATATTTTATATAAAAAACATGCGTGTTGCGAAAAACATTTGTATGTAATGATGTTGAGTGTTCGGACATTCAATTTTGAATCCATCCGATACGGGTTTTTTCACACACACCACACATTTACTATATATATATATATATTAATAATATATATATATATATAATATATATATATATATCGGCATGCGTGCGCGACGACGCGCGCGTGTGCACTTCGTTCCCTTTTTGGGCGAGGGACTGTTGGACAGATTAAACGAATGTGCGCGCAAAGTATTTTTGCGGAGGATGGAGGGGGGTTCGAACCTGGCTTGGGTGGGATGGTATGAGTTCGTGTTTCGGATGGGCGATGGGGCAAACTTAGATGTAATTTGCAACACGCAAAGCTATACCGATAAAGCCGGGTGGTGGGGGGTGGATCCCATTTCTTTTTTAGAAAGGAGAATATACGCGGTACAGATTAGAAGCGGCAGCGGGCGGCAACGTGGCGAAACCTTCCCGGACCCACCCAGCGCACGAGGCTGCAACGAAGCGGTCACGATGCGGCAACGGGCGGCAACGTGGCGACGAGGCGCGCACGAGGCGCGCACGAGGCGGCAGCGAGCGGCAACGTGGCGAAACCTCGTTGGACCCACCCCGCGCACGAGGCCGCAACGGGGCGGCAGCGATGCGGCAACGGGCGGCAACCTGGCGAAACTTCGCCAGACCCACCCAGCGCACGATGTGATCACGAGGTGGCAGCGGGCGGCAACGTGGCGTGGATTCACCCAGCGCACGAGGCGGCAACGGGGCGGCAACGATACGGCAACGAGCGGCAACGCGGCGAAACCTTGCCAGACCCCATCAACGCACGAGGCGGCAGCAAGGAGGCAACAAGGCGGTAATGTTGCGAAACCTTGCTGGACCCACTCAGTGCACGAGGCGGCAATGAGGCGACAACAGGCGGCAACGTGGCAAAGCCTCGCCAGACCCAAACAATTCTTTGTGGAGCCAATCGAAAGCCTCTAAGTAGATGCCTGTTTTGGGAAATCTCGTTAGACCAACTACGCCCAAAGAGCCGGGGGATTCAGTACTGTCAGCTCAAAGGTGCGTCAAGCCATTTCACTCAGTGCGTACAGCAATCTGATGAATCAGAATTAGCACCATCCAGAACTTACAATGCCAGTTCCCCAAGTTGAATCGACGGGTCCCCACTTCTCTATGGGGTTGACGAAGGATTGCTTCGGGAGGCAAGCAAGCGGCGCACAG